ATCTCTTTTACTTTTTTACGTCTCCCTTTTTTTACTTTTGTGCTTAGTAAAAAGTGTGACATTAATCATAAAAGCAGGTATACGAAATGATAAGTCGATAGAAAAAGAAATCTTCCTGTTTCTCGTGTTGACAATGTACAATGAACTCATAAATCCTAGTCCTAGGGTTTTCTTTATGTGATCGATTGAAGAAAAAAACTCGAAATTTGACTCAAAACTATCCGGTTTTTTCCTCTAGGACCAGGAAGGAATCGATTCCTAAAGGTCAATGACTTAAAGGTCGATTTACAATTTTCCGATATAACCGGAACTTAGCAAATGCTTCAAGTTTTTTTAAATATAAAATAACGTATGAACAAACAAATTTAAAAAAACAAATTTTTTAGGAATATAATAGTATAGATATTTGATATTTATATAGTATAGTATATTTATATAGTTTTATAAATATTATACGTTCAATGAACTTATTATAATAAATCACAAAGTTTTGCTTTTCTGTGTGATATTCCTAGTCTTAAAGAAATTTGGTATGATATCTCAAATAGATTTTAGATAACTTTTAGAAAACGATAAATTCAAAACAGAAAAATCAAAATAAAGATATATTTAAGGGCACGATCTCTTTGAAACTTTTAAAAGTGTTCCTTTGCTTCAGTTCAACATTCCGTAGGCCTTTCAAAAAACGGATTTAGATTATGACATGTGATCGGTCAGGAGCACAAACTTTGCTTTTACTGATTCTTAGGCCTAATCTTGAAGAATCTTATAAAATATGCAGATTAATCTATGATTATTCGTTGAATTCTGACAAAAGATAATTGTTAGCCGGTCAGAAATAATTGTAAGCGACGAATAATCGGTAGGCTGTCGCAAATTCCCGTTTCGAAATCTTTTTTTCGGATATTTTGCATGCATCTGAACTTTCAAGATTTTCGCATACGTCGTAAAATCTTGGTTCCAGCATAGCAATTTCACGCCGTTTAGCATCTCTCGTGCTTAAAATCCTTTAAGCAAAATTATCGTTAAACTTTGAAAACTATAATAAAACCCAGTCGAGAAGAACAAGCGGTAAGTGCGTGTTCTTTCAAACTTCGAAACGCTCGCCATTAAAAGTCAATCAGTTGTTTAAACGTATTTTAGTTCTACATGTTATAATTATTTAAAGGGATACCACATTATCTACACAATTAAAGCACAAGCCTCTATTAGAGTTGAAAAATAAAAGCGTAAAAAAATCTATATCATAAAAATTTTATTTATAAAAAACTTATGTAAAAGTTTTATTACAAGTCTTTTTTCTTTCTCGTTTCTTTTGGGGTATGTAAAAGTTACAGAAATTAAATGTACAATGTCCGAGCAACACGTTACAAGTTTAATAGGCATTAAATTTGAAATATTTTCATTTTCACCTTGTCTTTTGCTGGTAACTTTTGAAATTTAGTGCGTACTCTTCCAAAACTAATAACTTCCCAATTTAAAAATTTTGATAAATTTTCAATGTTTTTTTTTTTACTCTTATCGTTCTTACGAATGAATTGAGAGGGTTTCAAAATAAAAGGCAGACTCTTCGAGGAAGTCTTTCCGCGCCCGTGTAAACACGCGTGCAAAAGAAACGCACTTCGCGTGGGTGCGGGTGCATATATTCGTATATATTCTTCTCCATTCTCTCCTTCTTTTCTTTGCCTTCGGGGTTCCTGTTTCGTCGAGCCCTTCCGCAGGAATTGAGTACCTGATTGTGGGCGGCCGTTAAGGGAGCGGGAAGGAAACAGGAATTCCGAAGGGAAGAGAAGAGAAATAGACCGGCCCCTTGGTAGGACTCGTCGAGAAGAGCAGGTAGCTCTCAGAGGACGCCCACAAACCTGTTTTTCCTGTTATATCGTGAGCCCGGTTTATATGAGCACGGCGGATTCTATGGTGATCGTGGCCCGGTGCCGATCACGACGTTTGTCGTGCTTTTTTTCCAAAAATGCTTCAGCGCATCGCGGGGCACACTAGGGCTGTTTTTAGTCCCTGGTGACTATTTCTTTTTATTTACCGCACTTTCACAAATAGGGACGGAATCGAGAAACTCACAAGTAAAAATTCAAAAATTTAAAGAGTGATATAGAGACATATTTTCAAAATGTTCACGCGAAATGATCTTTCCTTTTGAAAAAAAAAAAAGTATACGGTAATTTCGAATACGTAATAGTTTATTTAACTTTTCCGTATCACTGCAACACAAATAAAACTCACACTCTAGTGAACGATCCATATAATTGAATAACCAATTAAAAACAAAAATGAACGTTCCAGGTTTCTATTTCTATTCCAGAACGAGTGAATAATAAAATATAAAAAACAGTAAATTAAAAAAATGGTATTCTGGAGTCTAAATCCATTACAATTGGTCATTGATATATTCTATTGAACTTTGAAAAGTATTTTAGAGCGAAGTAATGACCATTGACAAGTAATGACGTGAATTATTTAGAAAGTTACCTTTGTTCGCCGGAAATATTAAGATTCGTGAATGCATATTAATCTTTACTTTGTGCATATTAAATAGAAAGAGTATTTCAACCATAATTTTTATTTCAACTGTAATTTTCCTTCTAAACAATAATCCGAAACATTTATTCGAATTAATGGTTTCTCCGTGAATGGTTTCTAAAACTATTGGTCAATCTAAATTTCATGTCTTTCGTTAAAAAAACTTTTCACAAGAGGATAAAGAAAAGTAGAAAGAAATCGAGGAACAAGCAGGAGATCACGTTCGACCGATAATGAGACGAAAATTAGGCTTATCATGGTAAGGTCAAGGTTTTAATGCAGATTAAATGACGGCTAATACGGTTGCATGTCGCAACGGAAGATCATCTCGTTTCCGTACGAAAATAAAATTTATTTTTTTTTGATAAACAGTAAGTTTTCTCCGAAACCGAGTTTTTAATACACACGCACTTTGTCGTGATTATGTCTCGAGATATTAATTAAGGAAAAATCCCACTCCGAGCTTATCGCTTATATCTCAATATGAATTATACGGATATTTCTGTCCGTCGCGATATAAATTATAATAAAGGAAGGATATGATTCTCAAACCGAAACACGTGCGTCACGCGTGGCAGTATATTGTAGCACTTTTCGCATTCTGCCACAATTAAGATAAGCGAGAGAACAGCGGCAATGTGGTGGGATCGCTCCGTTGAAGGGAGGAGAGAAGCAAGAGGGAGAAAGACTTGTTTGCTCGAGATTATGGCGGATTAATGAGTTCGACCAGATCAACAACAGCGCGCTTGAAATTTTATCAAGGCGAATAATTTTTTAAAATATATAATTTACACTTTACGAATATTTTCCTCTCTCTCGAGATATTACTTTCATTATTATCACCGCTCGTGATTCTAACGACAGCTCTACTTCATATCCCGCGGTGGCTAGCAAACATTTCGACCGCTTTAAAATTTTTATATCTCGTTTATGTTATCTTTCGCTTATTTCTCCCTTCCATATCTCTCTCTTTCTCTCCGCCTCTTCACAAGTGTTGTCTTAACAAGCATTTTCTCCTCTTCACGCGTTCTTTTTTTTATTTTTTTTATTTTATTTTATACTAAGTTCGAAGTGCGACGCGTTTCGCAACTGTTGCAAAAATGAACGAACGAATTCGTGAAATAACTGGTTATCGATCGCGCTTTTGCACATAATAATAAATAACAGAACCAGCAAAGAAATTAAATATTCAGCCATGCAAAAGAGTGCAATTGTCGTGCGTAAAAAAGCTCAAATTAAAGGTGAAATGATGAATAATAGACATTTTTCATAATAATTTGCATAATATGCAAAAATTGAAAATTGAAATTTTTTTTATTTTATGAAATAAGCACCTTATCGTTTTTATTACATGCACGCAGCGATATTTGCATCGTATTTTTTATTCTCGATACAGCAATCGTTTGATTACCGATGAAACAACGATGATCTGCAATTCATGAATTTTTATCTGTTACGTAAGATATAGATCTAGATATAAATCGTTCATAATTCAGTTAAAAAATTCTAAAAAAAAAAGTCTAAGAATTCACTTTTTTTTATTTCGATAATTTATCTTTGTAACTTTTATGATAAAAATCTCTAGTAAGATTAATTTAAAATCTCATTCATAGAATCAATACTCATTTCATAGAACAGGAAATGAGTAGATATGTTATTATTCGATCGCTCGAATGCTTCCCGTTCGATTAAACATTATCTCGTGATTAATATCTTATCTCGTGATTAATTAGCAAATTCATTTTAATTTTATTCTGACATTAATGCAATTACGAAGATTGAATTCAAAAAATAACACTTATCGATTTATTTCTTTGTGATATTACGAAAATCGATATGTTGATTACGATCATGAGACTTATTTTTGTCTAACCAAATTGGATACAATCAAATATAATTAAGCTTATACATGATAACGATATATAATATATGGAGAATAAGAGAATAAGATAATCAAGAAATGCATTTGCAAAAATGTGCCTACAATTTATTTTAATGTGAAATATGTCAAACTGAAAAAAATCTTTACTACGAAAAATTTTTATTAATGCATGAAAAAATCTTAACGATATAAGATTCTAGAAATTTTCCAAGTGCATTTCGGCCAAAACCTTTGTACATGATTAAATCGCCGTGAAACATCGGCGATAAAACAGCTACGGAAAATACAAGTTTATCGTATCAAGCACTTGTCTTACCGTGTATATCTAGCAGGAAAATCAATTTGTTTCATAAACTGCGGATCCAGTTGCGAATAAAAAATCTTGCGTGAGCACGCGAACGTTTGGTGTCAGCCATTTTCGACTTTTCATCGAAGTCAAGCGGCGCCAACAGCCATATCGTTTGAATCTCAGCGTGAAGCGTCCGCGGATCGTTTCGCGCGAGAAGCGCAAAGTTCACGCAGGTAGATCCAGGCCGCGGAAAGAGGAAGGAAATAGAGAGCCATCGTGCCGCCTGTTACTTACTTCCATCGCGTTGTTTCACGTTGCGCGCAAGTGGAAACGATCGGCCGGGGTTAACTCGACGACAATCACGATCGCGAGGAAGCTACGAGGAAGTCGGCCGGGCTTCTCTCCTTCTCTTTCTCTCCCTCTTGATTTCTCCGTCTACTCCGCAGTACGGTCGCGACTCGGTGCCGTGCCGATCATCCCCACTCAACTGCCATGACTGCGGTTCGATTAATTCCGTTGGCGCCGTCGCCAACGATGGCGCGTGATTGGCCAATCGCGGCCGCCAATAGTCGCCGAGCGATTCCACTTGTTTCCGAGCGCCGTAGCGCCGTCTCGCTCGCGCAACTTCGCAACGCAACGGGTGAGCACCAGAGGAGTGTGGCGGGGTGAAGTGAGATGAGGTGGGGTGTCGCGCGCGTCTGGCGGCAACCTTCACTCGACACTTCCTACAGCAACGGCCGGATCAGTCGCTCGCCGACCTCGTAACGCGATAGTATCGAGGTGTGGAGCTCGCTTGTTGTTAATCGCATCGCAATCGCCGCGCATTGCCACGACAAGCCGCTGAACGGCACCGAGGGTGATCGTTCTTTCGCCCCCACGAAAGTCGCTATCCATTACGTGCGCGCGCGCGCGCGCGCGTGCTCTCCGAATCTCGTGTACGTCCTCGCGTTCGTCTTCCTTGGTGTCACACATAGATCGTGCATGTCACCGGATCGGAGGGAACACCACATCGGAGTACGAGTGCCGCGAGGAGCCACAGAGACAATCAAGTGACGCACAAGTGCGCGAAGCCGAGAGTGCTAATGACCGAGGATTCTTTCTCGTTCCCTTCTGTGATACGTAATCAAGCGCGGTCACCGCAGCTGATATAACCGGGATATAGCAATCCTTCTCACGTGTTCACGTGCACCGTGGTGAAAAGAGTTTCCGCGCGGGATTATCTCGTCGTCCCTCTTTTTCTCTCTTTCTCACTCGGTGTCTGTGTCGCGCGCGCGGATGCCGCCTCCCGCCGCGGCCTGATTACGCGCGCCGCGTGCCGTCCCGCGTGCATGCGTGCGTGCGTACGTGCATGCGTGCATGCGTGGAACGCGACGAAATTCGCCCGATGAACAGTGGAATGGTTTGTGTCTGGACCACGACGACAAGTGATAATTAACCAGCAGCCCGGTAATCCCCGGCAAAGGATTTTATCGACGTGAGACAGCGGAGTCGCTGACAACGGAGACGGAGCAGAGGCCAACAATCGAGGTAATTTTACACGCGGACTTTTCATGTGTTCGTCGTAAATTTTGCAGTGTCTGCTGTCCCTCGCGTGTGTGCGCGTTGATATTTATATATGTATCCCTGTTTTGTGCGCGAGATGTGGGGCGCGCGCGTGCGTACGCGCGTACTCGACGCTCTTCTTCCGATTCTACCGATTGTAAACAAATCCTCATTGTCGCTGTCGCATTTCGCGGAACGGCATTTCTCGGAATTATTGAATTTTTCGGAATTGCGTTTTACGTAGATATTCGTAGAACTCGCATTTACAAGCGGACTCACGAAAATTTAACACTCGCTCATCCATTTCACTTGAGGAGGCTTGACCGAACTCGATTCGAACTATTTAAAAAACGAGCTTTTTTTTATCTCAAATATATTAACGATTCCTTTTAATTGTTTAGCTTCTCTATTTTCTCGAGGATTTTCTTTCGAATGATGATGTCTTTGAATTTCCATTATCTCTTTCGATATTCATTTCGCGAATTGCATAAATGCTAAATATCGCACAAAATCGCGTATAAAATACATTAAGTGTGCGAACTCGTTTTTATAGTTGATTTTCACGCAAAATTAAAAGTTTTAAATATTCATTCACTTCTATTATTCTGTTCCTATTTGCGGACGCTAAAATGCAGTTGCATCTACGATGACTTAATGCAGTGTTATTAATAAAACCTATAATCGATAAAATTGACAGACTCGTGAGAGATTCAGCAAAATTACCTCTAATGACTAGTACATACGGCTCACATTTGGTTATTATAATTAACAATTCCAGCTCGTAATTCTTGACTCTACGAACTACTTCTCACTTTGTCGTTTCTAATTTAACTGTGTCGAAAAGTCAGCAGATATTTTCTCTCGTAATCCCGCGTCTTGACTCTCGCGAAAGGTCAGCCGCTCGACGGAGCCCGGTCCATTTTCGTTCTCCCTCGATTCCCCTCGTTACCGGGCTCAAGAAACGCGAAGCAAAGAACAATCCGCGGCTTGTTACCGTATCCGAACACGAGGAGTTAATTCCGGCGCACCGCGCCGCGACGCGCGGAACCCGGAAATCCGCTGGAAGCTCGGCCTCGCTTTTAATCCGCTCGGCGATGTTAATAACCGGTCGTGCGGAATTCAATTAACGCGAGCCGCTGACGTCAACCCGTCCGTCTCGCGACTTTGCCATGGCGGATAAATAAGCGCATTGTCGTCTCTGGATGCGGAGTGCCAACGTGTCTTGCGAGTGCCCGACGTAATTGTCAAATTGCGCAAAGGATCCGATAATCGTCGCGAAAAAAATGAATCATTCCTGAAAAATTGTGCTTTAATCTTAATTTCTCTCGAATTCGTATAATAATACTGATAAGATGATAGAATGTAGCACTAATAAAATATAAATGTATAATAATAATTATTATTGTAATTATATATACGTAATCTTGCAACAATCGTTTATCTTATCACACGAAGGTTAATGCTAATTGTCAACTATTGACAGACTTGTATAGTTTTTAAACAGTTCCTATTTGATGCTAATATATATAATTAGCCATAATTGCATAGGATATAATTATACGTACGGCGATATAAATTAAGGTATTTAAGCTACTTTCAAGATATCTGAATTACTTTGACGCTACTTCCTCGTGGTGAGATAGCCCTTCATGATGATTCATTTAAATAAATGTTTTTATATAGAATGGAGGCATATAAAAAGATTTGAGAAAGATTGCAAAATTAAATGAGCTTCATCTTCGCATTGTCATTTGTTAGACATAAATAAATGTTACGATATCTTTCTCAGCATGTTACGCAAGCGAGATTGTATAACGTTTACTTACAAATATCTACAAAAATTAAAATGCTCCAGGCACACAGAATATACACACCGTGGACCGACATTCAGACATGTTAGAAGTGGGTGTCGAAATATTCAAACGCTCAGTCTCGTCGCTCGAAAAGCCTTGAATGGGCCCTTAAACGGTTTCTGCCGGAACGACGACACCGATCGTGCAGATGAAAGTACGTCACTCGACGATAGATCGATAGGATATAAGATTGCCGCTGCGGAAACGTTTACGTAACCAGCCCGGTAGGAACCGCTCGTATTTCTTAATCGTTATTGAGGAAGTTGCGCGTTATCATTTACATAACGCGAGCGCGAACGAGCGAGTTCGCGCGCGTAATACCCAACCTGCTCGAGGCTTTCGCAAGATTTCCGCGAGTCTTGTGCGGGCACCGCCATCGGGCGAAACCGGCTCTCTTTCTCTTTCTCAAGTTTTCTGCGGGATACATTTGCACGTGGCCCCCCGTAATGCAATCGTGAACCGAAGACCAAAATCCATAATTCCAACGCGAGTCTCGTTTTCTAACTGATCATGAATAAACATTATTACATTTTGCGTGATGCCTGCAGCGAGTCTGAAATTACGCAGTGTTTAATATCTATTATAAGCCACACAAAGATAAAGAGAAAATACGTTTTCCGGCGAACGTGGAAAGAATGAATGCGTTTGCTTGCAGACAACGATGACAATACGGATTCGTGCTCCTTCAAAGTGTCTTCCTCTCGCATAATTTGTGAAAAAAAGTGTTATAACGCAAAAAAGTTTTTAAAGTTTTTGCTTTAATTTGAATTTACGTTTCTCATTGGAGTTAATTACCGCAAATCTTAATATTTTTTTGTAGCGAGAAATTAATTGTCAGAAAATTTATATTGTGATAGATTTTTTTCAATAAATTGATACAAGTTGATTAAAAGAAATTATATAACTTGCGTTAGATATTTGTGTCACTGCATTTAATTCGATTCGTTTTATAACAAAAAAATAGACGTAATAGAGGAAACTCGTCTGGGAAAATTGTAGTTCCTTCTAGGTAAATTAACTAAGAGAAGTGGCCGTGCATGACGATATCCTTGCCGCGGTAGGCGCGAGTCGGAGCTGCTTTCCTCCTTTGTCCGGTCGAGACGCGGATTGATTTCTGATTAATGCGGATCTTCTCCGTGATACTTCCTCATTGCGAAACCGCGGACGGCGGCCGACGCAACGCGCGCAATTAAGTCTCCGCCGCGAGAAGATTCCGTCGTGAAGATGTTTACAAACTCTATAAGTAGATAGTAAGAAGACAAAGCGGGGAGTTGGCCGCTTGACCCATTGGCGTAAGTAGAGATCTAGAAAAATGTGAAAATATGTGAATCTAAAAAAACCATTTCTCAAATACATTCATTTGTACGAAGCGTCCAATTATTAAAAAAAATCTTCGAGGCAAACATTTTTTTTTTTTTAATTAATGTGTTTTTCGTTAACTTTAAAAATTATTTTATAATAAATTTAATTAAAAAACGAACAAGGCGCCAACACAGGCTTTAATGAGTGAAAAATACGCGTCTCAGAAAGAATCGCAGAGTCATTTGACTCAATGGCACAAAAGTCCGATCGACCGGTTGATGGCCAATGGTTTCCGGTGACGACGCCTTTGCTGCTGGCAAACGACTGCGATATGTACATAGGTTATCATCTGCATGCACGGGTTACAAAGAGTGTACCGAGCGACCGAGCGGCCGCGTAATCCTCGTCCGTGTGGCCGTCGTATTCTTAACTTTGATACGACGTGCCGTCATCATCGTCAGATACAAATACACGCATCGCATCGCGACTGCAAGCCGGGCTGCCATCTCCGTGGCGTTGAAGAAGGGAGGAAAGAGAGGAAGAAAAACAACAGATCCTGCCAATAGCAGCTCGGACAGTAAAACCGGAAGCTCGTTCGCCGCGCTTAGAATTGCAATTTTTGCATCAACGCTAAATTTGGCGGTATCTTTTTAAGAGACATTTCTTCTGCCGCAATATAAAATTGTAATCTCTCTTTCTTCTCATTTTTTTTATCATAATTACGTATTTGTTTTTTACATATTATCTGTCTTTTACAATCAGACATGCTTATTTAAATTAAAATACGCATTGTTGAAAGAACATTTGACTTTCAAATCCTGGAACTTTGCAGCTTTAAAATTAATTCAATTATGAAATTTGTAAGATCGAATGCGCGCAAAAATAAGATAGAATAAATTTACATAAGGATTTTATATTTAGTAGACCACAGTTTGTGATGCCGAGATATGTGTAATTTAATTAGAAGACTGTTTCTATATTATTGGCCAGGAAAATTTCCTAATAGGAATTACATATGCGCCTGGATGCAACCAGCGAATATGGATATTAATGTCGTTGTTACTTGAACATTCGTCCGTTATCGCGCGTACATAGGTCGCGACGCGTTGATTGATTTACGATTAAATTAATAAGTACAAGCTGGGTGCAGCCAACCCAACTCGCGCGCCCGCTTGATTTACGATCCTGCCGCGTCTGATTGCCTCGTCGAACGAGATTCCGCGATATGCGCTAAAAAAAATTAATAAAACTCACGACTTGTTGACAACAAGAGTAAAACGTGATCGCTATTATACATCTTTAATATTTACGTAATTTTCCTCAATTTCCCTCTATTACACGGAGAACAAATATAAAAGGGATACTAAAAATGCGAAATTACAAAAGGGAACCTTGTGTTTTATCAGGAAACGTTTATATTTATTTATGTATTAAAAAATATTTATTTAATTTTTTCACAAATTATATTTGTGATTAAATTTTTATGATAATTGTCACGATCAAAAAGGTATTTTTTTCAAAGTACGTAAAGTTTTTAGTACGAGGTTTTAAACGATGTAAGAAAAGAGGCGTAGAAACGTAGAACGCCAAATGGACAATACGCGTCGGAGGCTGACGTGAGCGTCGAAAGAACGCGAATTCCCAAGGAGAATGCTGAGTGGAACGCAGACGATAACTCGTGACCGCAAGAGGAGAGAGAGAGAGAGAGAGAGAGAAAGAGGAGAGACGGTACTTTTGAACGCGCAGCTTCGTCCCGCTGGAAGACCTGTCACCCGGAAGCGCGGATAGAGAAACGCACACGAAGGCCTCCTCTTGGCAACTTACAGCAAT